GGACTCCAATTCCCAGAATTCCCCAGCCAGGTATGCTTTATAATCTGTGGACTCCAACTCCCAGAATTCCCCAGTCTATTTTAAAATGGGGGTGCTTCAACTCCCAGAATTCCCCAGTCAGCATGCTTTTTATCATTCCGCAGTCAGCGTGCTTTATAATATTTGGACTCCAACTCCCAGAATTCCATGCATGAATTGCATGTGTCTGAGGAACTCTGGGAGTTGAAGTCCATGGATTATAAAGCATTCTGGCTGCGGAATTCTGGGAGTTGAAGTCCACCACTCTCAGCGGAGAAACCCAGTTCTAGAAGGTTCGGGACAGCCTCCAAGGAACCCCCCCTCCCCCCCCCAAGCGATTCTCCATGGCCTCGGAGCATATGTCCTCGTTTCCCGACCTATCCCTCTAGCCAAACTCACGCTCTGGTCATTGTCTTCGCTCTTCATGTGGTCCGCGATGAAGCGCACCCCGTCGATTGCCTCCTCCAAGCCGCAGCAGCAGGCTTCCTGTTCGGTCGCCGCTTGGCTCAGCCTCTCCCGGAAACCGTTGACCCCGTCGGAGCTTTCGGTGAAGGTCCGTCCACTGCTGCTCCCGGTCCCGAACTTCTTGATGGTAGACGGGTTGGCGTAGCAGGTGCAGGAGCGGGCGCCACCTTTCAGGAAGAAGCTGCTCAGCGCCCGTTCCTGGCTCTGCCGCTTCTGCCGCAGCTGCTGGCGGGCGCAGCTTTGGCGGGGCTGTTTGAGGAAGAGCAAGGTGGGCAACTTCTCCAGGAAGACCACTTTGACCCAAGGAGGCATGGTGTGGGTGGTGGGAGAGCGGTGGTGGACGTTGAGCACGCAGACGCTGGTGACGATGGAGAAGGTGACCAGCACCATGGTGAACATCAGATACTTGCCGACCAAGGGCACGTCCAGCGAGGTCGGCGGCACGATTTTGGAGATGAGGAGGAGGAAGACGGTGAGGGCCAGGAGAACCGAGATGCAGAGGGTCATCTTCTCCCCGCAGTCGGAGGGCAAGTAGAAGACCAAGATGGCCAAGGAGGTGATCAAGATGCAAGGGATGATGAGATTGATGGTGTAGAAGAGCGGCTTGCGGCGGATGATGAAGTCGTACGTGATGTCCACGTAGGTCGAGTCGTTGGGGTTCTCGTTGCGGCGTCCCGGCAGAGCGATGATGTCCCACTCGCCGCTGGGGGTGAAGTCATCCAAGCTGGCCACTTCGCTCTTCAGCACCAAGTCGATCTCCGTCCGGTCGTACGTCCACGAGCGGAACTTCATGGTGCAGTTTTGCTGGTCGAAGGGAAAGTGCTTGACCTCAATCTTGCAGGCGCTCTTGTAGATGGCCGGTGGGAGCCAGAAGATGCTTCCGTCGTAGGAGACCACCGCGTTGGAGTAGAAGGACACCTCGTACATTCCATCCGCGCTGGGGACGGGAGAGACCAGAAGAAGTTAGGTTGGGATCAAAGCTGGATTTTTTTTTTTCTGGACTTATGACCACGTAACGGAGCCCCAAATTTCCTTGCTTAACCGAGACGTTTGTTAACTGAAGTTCGCCCCCATTTTACCGCTGTTCCTGCCATGGTTGTTAAGTGAATCTGGCTTCCCCATGGACTTTCCCAGAAGGTTGCAAAAGGGGATTCATTCATGTGACCCTGGGACACTTCAACTGTCATAAATATGAATCGGTTGCTGAGCCAAGCATCTGAATTTTGATCACGTGACCATGGGGAGGTCGTATGTGTGAAAAACAGTCACAAGTCATTATTAATCAGTGCCATTCCAACTTCGACCAGTCCCTGTAACCCAAATTGGAGGAGAAATGAATCCAGGGCTCTTTCTATTGGCACTGTGAAATTGACTAGAAGGTGTTTTGAAATTGACTAAATTGGGCTGCGGAATTGACCAGAGACTGAAGGAAGAATTGTCCAAATCTCTGACAATCAGGTTTTCTTTTTCTTTAATTAGCACTGTGAAATGGACTAGAAGAGATTCTGAAATTGACTCATTTTGCTTTGGAATTGACGCAAGATTGAGGGAAGAATGGCCCCAATCTCTGAGAATCAGTTTTTTTTTTCTTTAATTAGCACTGTGAAATTGACTAGAAGAGATTCTGAAATTGACTCATTTGGCCATGGAATTGACCAGAGGCTGAGGGAAAAATCACCCCAATTTCTGAGAATCCTTCTTTTCCCCCACTTCAAATAAGCAAGGATGACAGGACAGCGCCCTCTTCTCACGGCCTTGACACAACTCTTGTTGTCCCAACACCGACCCAATTAGAAGGCTACTCTGTGGGAAATCTTGAGTTCCTAGCATCTCCCGGGTTTAGGAGCAACCATTCTTGGTTACCTACTTGTTGTAAAGCACCACATCTGGCAGCCAGATGTGTTTGGAAGGCAGCCGCACCTTCTTCATGTCGTCAAATTCTTCTGGGTTCCAGGTCAGGCGATAATCTTCCCATTCCTGTAGGGGTGGAGAGACTGGAGAAGCCATACGCCGAGGACAATCGCTCAAATTAGGTATGGATCCCACCCACCAAAGCCCAGTTTTGGAATCCCTTCCTTTAAAATTGGCTCAGGCAACTTGGAATATCTAGACGACCTTCTGAAGGACAGATAGAGGTTCCACAATGGGAGGTGTGTCCTCCGGACAGGTCAGTCTCTCCTTCCTGGAGAACAAGCTCTAACCGGAGAGGACCTCGTTGCAATTCTGCCTCGTGGATCCCGCCGTTAACGGAAGTGGTTAGTCTAGATGGCCTCCAGATTCACCCACCCACCCGCCGCCCTTCGCACCTCTCTGCTCCTTAAGCATCCTTGATCGTTCTGTGCAATTCATTCACCCAACCCTTAAGAAGTACGTCTGTCTGCACGAACCCGGAATATGAGGAACGAGTCTTACCTGGGTTAGCCACACATTCGTCGTCATGATCTGTTCTCGTTCGTGCTATAAGTAGAAATGGGACGGAGGACAGGAAAGAAACCCGCCCCCCCAAAAAAGAGGAGGGAGTGAACAGACATGGTCCAGGCAGTAGGCAACACCCACCCACCCCGCCAAAAAATCCAGCAGTTTTCTGACAAGCCGGATCCAAACAGACTCTGATGGGAAGAATTGTAGTCATGGTTCTAGTCTCGCCTTAGGCATGAAACCAGCTGGGTGACTTTGAGCCAATCACCAGGAGACGGGGGAGTTCTAGTTCCGCCTTAGCTATGAAAGCCAACTGGGTGACTTTGGGTCCATCACCAGGAGAGGGGAGTTCTAGTCCTGCCTTAGCTATGAAAGCCAACTGGGTGACTTTGGGTCCATCACCAGGAGAGGGGAGTTCTAGTCCTGCCTTAGCTATGAAAGCCAACTGGGTGACTTTGGGCCAATCACCAGGAGACGGGGGAGTTCTAGTTCTGCCTTAGCTATGAAAGCTGACTGGGTGACTTTGGGTCCATCACCAGGAGAGGGGAGTTCTAGTCCCGCCTTCGGCATGAAAGACAGCTGGGTGACTTTGGGTCAGTCTCTCTCTCTCTCTCTCTCAACCTATCCCACCTCACAGGGTTGTTGTCGTGAGGAAAATAGGGGGGAGGGAGAACTCTCAGGCACGGTCAACAGCCCTGACATCTTTTACCCAACATAAGAAAAAGTGCGGTGTTGAAGAAAGAAACCACAAACAAACCACGCTGATCAGCTGGGCCAGAGACACCATCAACTGCACCGTGACCAACTCGGAGCCATTGGTGGCCGGACGGATGAGTTTGTTGTACCGGGACGGATCCAGGAGGTGTTCCACCAGCCGTTCCTCCGTGTCAGTCCCGAGACCCCCTGGAACAAAACGGGGGCGTCCGTTACAGTAGAAGCCCGTGCGAAAAGCGGCACAAAGACAACGCCGTCAACTAAACAAGAAGAGTCCCGTTATTATTTCCAACTTAGCCTCCAATGTCCAGGTAAACCTTCTGGCTGGAGAAAAAAAAAAGAAAAACAAAACTCCCAGGAATAGCCTTCAAGTAGAGGAAATTCAGCCCAAAACACAGTCAACACAAACGGTAACTTAAAAAGTCCGAACGAGCCAAACTGAAGTAATGAGTTTGGCAGGGCAGAGGGGAGGAATTTCAGAGTTGAAAGCACAGCAAAACTCACACGGCTGGGAAGACGCCAGGAACACAGATAAGCCACGACGCTACAAGATAAAAAGTCACATTTGCTCCCAAACGGTTTACTGCGCGCAGCTTGTCTTTTTTAGACACTGTGTTCCCCAGCTGCAGCTAAATGAAAGGAATCAGGACGGAGTTTGGGGGAGAGAAAGAAAGACTTCTGCGGCTTCTGCTGTTTTCCTTGCACGAAGCCAAAAGTCTCTCTCTCTCTCTCTGCCCCTGAGAACGGAACTGGAGACGGGTATCCCGCGATCCCAAATAAAGAAGGATCTATCGGTAGGAAAACAGGGTGGGGGGATTTTCCTGCAGACTTTTTTTTGGGGGGGGGGGGTTTTCCCAGGGTCTCCGGTCCGTGTGATTTAAAATGATGAGTTTGGTGGTCCCTGAGGTCCAAAAAGTTGGCTGTTCTCGTCCCAACTCCCTGTTCCAAGGAAGGAGACCTTATATCATCCAGGTCAAATGGTTGTCTGGTCTGTTTTTGAAAACCTCCAGTTTCCTCCTTGACTCTAATTTTGTGAACTGTGAATATAGAATAACAGGAGTTGGAAGGGACCTTGGAGGTCTTCTAGTCCAACCCCTGTTCAAATGGGGGACCCTATACCATTTCAAACAACTTCTTAAATATCTCCAGTGATGGTACACCCAGAATTCTGGACCAAAAACAACATAATGGGTTTTTTTTTTTTTAACGGTAGGGAAACTGGCTAAAACATGTTCCATGTTTCATTTCCAGCCTGGAAACTGTTTTTAAATCTTGATTTATGGTTTATTAAATGTATCCACGCTGCCCATCTTGCTGCTGGGGTGATTCTGGGCAGCTTTGGAAGGTAGACTGCCTCGGAGGCTGGAGGCTTCATTAACTTGGTTAGTGAAGAGTCTGACAGAATCAGGCCAGAGCTGAAATTCCCTTCCCAAAAATAGCTGCCTGAAATACTTTGGGGAACGAGAGAACGGCTCATTTATATTCTCTGGCAATTGTGACCTTTTTGGTATTCCCCAATGCCTGGTGTGAGTAATCCATTTCTCTGTGTGTGTGTGTGTGTGTGTGTGCGTGTGTCTCTCTCTCCATCTCTCTCTCTCCGTCTCTCTCTTCGTCTCTCTTTCTCTCTCCATCTCTCTCTCCATCTCTCTCTCTTCGTCTCTCTCCATCCCTCTCTCTCCATCTCTCTCTTCGTCTCTCTCTCTCTCCATCTCTCTCTCTCTCCATCCCTCTCCCTCTCTCCATCTCTCTCCATCTCTCTTCGTCTCTCTCTCTCTCCATCTCTCTCTCCATCTCTCTTCGTCTCTCTCTCTCTCCATCTCTCTCTCCATCTCTCT